AGCAAGCAAGGAATAGCAGGACGAACCTTGATATGAGCGTACATGGCGATGAAAAGACCCAAGAAGAAGAGAACCGCCGAGGCGAGTGTCGCTGAACTTAGAATGTTTTCCCATTCACGGATTTCTGACGATAACGCCGTAACACTGAACATTTTCACTTATCGTATCGGGTATAAACATTGGGATTATTCAGTGATAATGTTATTAGTTTGATTATTATCATCAAGTTTATTTGTTTTTGACGGGGGAGGGGATTTCAATGATCAATTCTTCATTCATTTAATTCTGAGGCAATATCTAGAAACTAGATGTCCACATGACCAATGGAGAGTCTGGTTATCGTTATTGCTATAACAAAACTTCTCAGTATACAGTATATGAAGATATCAGTATATGAAGCTTTAGGGTAAAATATGAATATCAGTATGAATATTAGTATTCGAAGCATCATTATGGAATAAGAATATGTAAGAAGTTTTAATCGATACCATATGAAATATCAATTAATATATGAAGGTAAATGAATGCTTAGCACAAATATCTATCACTATCATAATGTTCATCAGAGATTAAATAAGTCTTCGGCAAGAGATAATGTGCGATTAATCAGCCAATCAAGCAGATAATACAATTCAACTAATGGATAGTTCAGGGAATGTATGCATCTAAATCATGTAATCTCAACTGGATCAATGTACAATCAGCGAGATGCTTTTAAAATCCACGACATTGAATAAATGGATCGATGAAAACGCACGTTTCATTCTTTTTCACAATTCCAAATTTGCGTTCAATGTAAAAACAAACGAAAGACATCGCTGCCGAAATGAACATCAACGTGACAGCAATAATGAACACTGCCAAATAGCCCAAATCACGGCGGGGTATTGATGGCAACCGAATGTTACGCAACTGAAAGAAATACTGCTCGACGTATTTTCGCAGCAAAAAAAGAGAAATTCACAAAATTCACATAGTGAAAACTGAAGACGCAACTGATTATTCGATCGTTTTCCGGAAAAAATTCACAGAATCCTCTTAGTTCGTTTCGGTTAGAAAGAGAACACAACAATTCGAACGAGTCACCTTGAATGTGCGTCGTTTACGATACTTGTAAAGACACAACTCACAAATCGGTGGACGTTTCAACTTCCTCGAACATATACTTAACCAATGCTGAATAATAATTAATAACTCTTTTTGCGGACAAAATGCCCAAACACTGAATTAAATTCTAATGATAAGAGCTTATCTCATCTACATTAATGAAAGCAAATGCTAAATCAATTCACTGACGGTAAAATGCTATTGAAAATTTCACAATGTTAATAATTAATAATGTTAATATTAATGTTAATAATAATAATGTTAATATAACTTCGGAGAAATGCAGATGAAATATATGCAAGCGAATGAATTGGATTTTCAGCGATATAACCGTAACATACTAAAAGACAAGACATATGGACGAATTGAAGAGTTCCAGAGCAACGACAAGGTGATATGAGTTGATCGTCGGGAGTGGACGGGCAGTGACATATACGGCAGAGTCGTTCCGAGCTGATCTCTCGCGAGATCGACCTCGTACTGCAATTGCCCGCGAACGAGTGAAACGAAGTGTCCAACGAACCAAGTGTTGACGATGTTTCCTTCATAAAACAGATATAATATCAGTGATTATTGCTTGCATCAATCTTTTATCATATCATTTCTGTGCATCACACTTCATCATCATTAGTATGAGTTGAGAAATTTAAGTTGGCAATTCAAAAACGCATCTAGAAAATGATAAATCCGAGTAATTTGGCGATGACTCAAACTAAGCATCGATAATATAGGATCCATTTCGTTAAAATCATTGAGGAATAGTGATAATAGTGATCATAGAATAGTGAATAGTGATAGTAGTAGCGATCATTTAGGAATAGTAATCTGGAATAGTGATATGATCACTTGGGATCATTGAGGATATTTTCCACAAACGAACTTGATTGATCACGATCCTTCTCAAATTCTTTATCATCCATGATGCAATTTCATGATGCTTTTCAATCTCACACTCAACAAGGTTTTATTTTTAAGTCAAAATATGAACCTGAGCAATATGTCTACAACAAGTTCCATCCAGCAAAGGTCGTCCTGCACAGACCTCGCATAATGCCCCCAAACTCGTAGGATATTCACCGTACTGCACCGTCCAATCTGGATCACATTTCTCAGCGTATGTATTCTCGGTTGACGATACGAACAGTTGAGTTTGATTGTTCCATTTTGAACACCGATCACATGAACACTCATCCGTATCGTTGCCGTTATCAATTTCATTATCGCGGATATCACCGATGGCGTTGTTATCATTACAAGCGCAATCCCTTTCATAATCCCTCCTATCCTTTACTTTCGTACTAAGAGCGATATCCGATTTGAGCATTCTTTTCTTCTCTGCAAATCAATCCTCTTCAGTCATTTATCTTTCGTTTTCCTTTCTTCTTGTTACCTTCAACTGTTCCACTATCCTAGTCTTTTCATTCA